GAACGTTAGAAGGAAAATTTACAGTGAATACTAGAGCTAAATCTTTTGGTTTTGAATAATGCTCATTTTTACATTAGCATTATTTTTAAGCTGGTCTCAGACAGATATTATTGTCGTTGAATTCTCTAGTAGGATCAAAGAAATCGATTACTAGAATATCCGATTCTTAAGAGATTTCGATATCATTTTTTTTTGTATTTACCAGTCGATTAAATTTATAAAAGAATTATGAATGTAACAGTAAAAACCCCTATATTACTATATCTTAGGTTTATTATTTATACACCAATGTGTGTAAGTAAATGGCAGAATTTTATAAGAGGGATAATTTTTCGGACTTATCAGTCCTTTTTTTTACGTGTGGAAATCCCCTAGGACCGTCACCCCACCGGGGTTTGCGGCGGGGTGGTGTGTCGCACTCGGACCTACTAAAACCTCACGGTGTGCCACTCTGCGCCTGTAATAGGAGGGATCCGGGAACAGCTGTTATTAAGACATCCGGAGGACTTATCAGTCTTGATCTAACCTAGCCACATTTAAATAAACGGACACGGGTGATTTTGCCTACACTGATTTATTTAAAATTACATTAACTTACAAAATATAATTACACGTTATAGTTAACAGTTGGATGTCAGCTGAAATTTAGGTATCATCAAAATACGCGCCAAATAACTTTACGGTGGCAAAGTTCGCGCGAGAAGCGCAGCAAAATACAATTTTGGGTATCAGAGAATATGTATATCCAGTGTCGCGGGGGACTTTACAAACATATATTCATTAAACGGACACAAAGAACACCTAGACGCAGTACAACAATTTGTGAATCACACAAAGTGTCGTAAATTGTTTGACCCACAGTGTTGTGGGTCTGATTCCCACATTAGTGCAGTAGGAGCGGCAAAGTGACCGCTTAAACCACTACGCCATCCGTGCAGTGACGCTGATCAAAAAATAAATTATATATTGACGAAGATACTTATCGCATATTATAAATGTAAAAAAAATAGGTGCAAGCAATTTTCGACTTTATAATTTTAATAATTTCCAACGTCCGCCAAAAGGCACGTTTTTAGTGAAACATCTTTAAGGGAGATAATTGCTTGCAAATGTTTTGTACTGTACCGATATCTTGGGAAATACTTAAAATTGTTTTAGTTTAGACTAAATATTAAAAAAAACTCTAGAATTATCTATTTATTAACAATGTACCTATTCTCTAGTAGTCCGGAGTTATTACCAAAAGCGTGAAATGTTTTTATTTATTTGCCAGATTAGTAGTCAAAATATTAAGGTAATTGGTCAAAGGTAGGTACAACTATACAAGATACTAATATGTAGTAACAATTCTTCTTTGTAGTCGAATAATTTACGCAAACAGTAAATAAAATAAAATAAAAATTCAGCACGTTTGTTTACCAGGGTAAGAATGCAACATTCGATTTGCAGCTAACTTCATAGACGCAGACTTGTATGGCGCGTGTTGCAAATACTAAAAGACGTCCGGATTGAAAGTGGCAGGTTATTTATATGTTCGATTTTTCGTACATTCTAACGATTATTCGTATACTAGTGAATTTGAAGAGTCGCAACACTACGGTAAAGGACCTAACTAAGTGACTTTGAAACAAAGTCTAAAAAATCTATCTATTGAATATATTGGTTAATTTGCTAAGATCTAAATTTAAATTTAGTCATTAAGAATTATAAATCTTGTGATGAAATTGAAATTGCTTTATAAGTTCATGGTTTTTCAAAAAAGTAAATTATAATTGTGTGAGTTACGCCATTACAAAGTTGTTTCTGCTTGAAAAATATGAAACGTGAATGAATAGATTAGATGGACTATAGGCATAAAAAAAGTTTAATTTTTTAACCGACTTCAAACATAAACGAGGAGGTTATCAATTCGTCTGTATTTTTTTGTGTGTTTGTTACGCGATATCTCCGTCACATGTAGACCCATTTTCAAAATTATTTTTGTAATCGAAAGGGTATGTTCCCGAGGTAGGCCCATTACCACCATATCAGGATCTGATTATGGGATCGTAGAGAAATCGAGGGAAAACCCCAAATTTTACAGCCCCGGCAACGTGTTTTAGCTTTCTCTAGCTTTATAGGTAATTGTGTTTAGTAGTCGTTATGTCATGTTGCTGAGTTGATGATGGAACGATCCTTGACCGTTAGGAGTTAGAAAAAAAGTCTTTCAAAAATCTAATCATGTATTGACCTTGTTTTATTCTTTCAAGATATTTGTAAGGGGTTTGTGTGGGGTTACAAAGATATGTGCATAAGAGAGTAATAAATGAGACTACAAAACATTTAGACAATAAAAAGTTTGTTACGCAATTATTTGCATGTTTGTTACCTCAAAACTCTTTCATTTGTTAACTGTTTTGGAAAATGCGAAAACGCGTTTATTTTTGATATACCTTTGAGTATAATGAATAGAATTCCACCAGAGTTTATAAAATTAATTAGGGTTAAACTGTTTTTGGTTTGACCAAAGGACGAAAGGCGTTCGGCGCGACGAACGCTGGAAAAAGTTGAATGCCTGAAGTTGCTCGCCCCTGGCAATTATAAATTTATTCGTCTGCACCTCCCCTTTACTTTATTTTTCTAATTATTGAGTACAACATAATCGATTAGAATTCAATTAGACAGTCAATACGAGTCTGGATACTTCATGCTTCTTACTGTGACTTGTTTTTTTTTTCTATTTTGGTGCTCGATTTATTTGTCCACTTCAGGCCAATGAAATTTATATATTAAATCTTCGTATTTACACTATACTCGTAATACTATAGTGCCTAGTGGTTTCTTATTTTTGCATATTTTGTAAAATTACAGATTACATTGTCGATTTATGAATTTTCTACGCTTGGAACTATTTTTTCATTCATCAACAACCTTTAATAGTCCACTGCTGGACATAGGCCTCTCCTTAGAAAGGAGGTTTTGACCTACTATACTACGCTTCAAGTTTTTCTTCTTTTTGTAGTGCTGTTGTTGTGCGTGGTTTGCTCCCTTAGTCGACTCTTACGACCCCCACGGGATGAATATGGGTGGTGACACTCCGTATTCTTAATCCGTCAAAACACGGACTATTTTTTTTTCATTATTACTTTTAAATCTAGATACCGATTTTCGTTGAACGAGCCCTTTCTTTTCCGTGCGGAAATCCCCTCGGATACCACCTATCGGTGGCATGTTGGACTCGAACCGACTAAAACCGCACGCCGTCTCGGGTACTAATATCCGGGGAACCAGGTATACCCCAGAAAGGAAGTCCCTGGTGCAAGAAAGGAAGTCCTTGGTGCTCGTTGAACGAGCCCTAAAATGTTAATTGAAAAGTGGCATTGATCTTGCTCCGATATATTAATATTAGTGACTTCGATTATAAAACATATTAGCATAAATAGCAGTATAGACCTTATTTAGAAAAATCAAATGTAGATATTATTTGCAAAGTTTAATCATTATTTTAGAAGATAGAGCATCACGAATATTGAATATTCGTTGTTGTCTATGTTGTCAAATCTTGAACAAGACCCCGAACCAGGCAAGTACTTCTAAATTGTAGACGATTTTGATTTACCAGTACTATTATTGTGATTTTGATTTACCAGTACAACATGACATAACGATTTGACGACTGAAGGGCGTAGTGGTTTGTGTAACGGACTGCTATTCCAAAGGTTGTGGGTTCGATTCCCACTCAAGTCAAACATTTGTGTGCATGAACATTTAATGTTTGATTTGGTCTGGGTGTTTCTATGTATAATAAGTATGTATTTACAAAAAAGAAAAGTATATATGTATTTATATCAGTTGTCTAGTACCCATAGTACAAGCTCTGCTTAGTTTGGGACTAGATGGCGTTGTGTGAATGTGGTACAATATTATATTATATATTATATTGTAGTATATACTACTGTAAGTGATATCTGTGACAGTTACTGAGATCTTTTAAACTTGGAATTGAATTTCAATCAATAAAATAAAATAAAATTTAATCTTACGTAAGGTACCAGTGTTCAACGAAATGATTTGATGCTTTTGATGTTACATGTATACATGTTCCCCTTTTTTTTTCTGTGCGGAAATCTCTTCGGATACCACCCACCGGTGGTTATGTCGGACTCGAACCTACCAAAAACCGCACGCCGCGCCGTCTCGGGTAACAATGGATACATGTTCCCCTGGCTTGTAAAATTATGGCAAATAAATTATAATAAAGAAAGAATACTTAAGATGAAAACAAACTAACAATATTTTTTGAATTTGGACATGTAACAGACAACGTCTTTTTTTTTTGTTCTCCGGCTCCTCGAGTATGTGGTGTTTCTTTTATACCACCCACCGGTGGTTATGTCGGACTTGAACCGACCAAAAACCACACTCCGTCTCGGGTACCAGTAGACGGGGAACCAGTTGTACCCTAGGAAGGAAATCCCTGATACCCCAATAGCCAGAATAGATAAACTTAAATCCGTGGTTCACTATACAAGTATAAGATAAACAATAATAAATGATAGATATATTTATGGGACACAAAAATTATGGTACATTGCAATTGTGCACGAGAACAACTGTAGTAGTTTGCAACTGTGACACAGTTATCAACGCCCACCTCCGGCGAATGCACAAACTTCCATATTTATGCTACAAAATATTTATGCTAGTGCTTACATTTAAAACTTATGAACAGAAACAAAAGAAGAAATGTGTGTATGGGTACAGGTACAATATTAAAGCATTTAAAATATCTTTATTAAAAAAATACTATTCGGTGCGTAAACATCATTATCATAATGGCAAGAAATAATTTTGAAATAATCATGAAATATAATTTAGTACAAAGAAAAATTAAATAGGATTTTTGAAAAAGCAGTTCCAATTGAAAGTTTTTTTATGAAATGAGCACTAAAAACTCTTTAAGGTCTGTAATGTCACCTAGTTTACAATGAAACTATTTTCCGGTAGCAATTAGTTATTTATTAGCAATCATCGGCTTCTACTTCGAATATACAAATATCAAGTGTGTGACATGAAATCTTATCCGTCACATCTATGAAGCAAAACTGTATTCGATAGTCTCCACAAAACTCATGAGTCAACACATCTTTAACGCAGTCTAAAGATAGTTCCAACTCTGCCATCTCGAACACATTCTGAAATATTAAAATGTTAAACTTAGGCGTTTCAAAGCTTATGAAAACTATTTACAGTGTTCAATATACATATTACTAAAAAAATACAATTTCCTGAGAAGGATACGGATAATGCAGTAAAAAGAGATTTAAATCATGTGACAGATACAAAGTAACGACTACCAATGAAAAGAGGGATGAAAACCTTGAAAAAAATGCCTAGAATGAAAATATGTAAGCAGTGAAGTATCGTCACTTCAACGTTTGAGTGCAGTGTTATGAAAACAACATACCTATGAAGGAAATTTAAACCGTAAAACATTGAAACTATTTTTTGGAGATAATGAGTATAAAAGAATAGCTTATGAAAGGAAATATTACGCAATTAAGAATATATCGAGATTTATATTATATTCAAATTTTTTAAAGCAACACAGTCCCAAGGACGGTGGTCGTCCGACCATAAAAGAAGAAACCAAAACCATTTTGCAATGAAGGAAACAGAAAACTCATTGTGCCGACCCCAAATAAATTTGGGAAAAAGGTAGGAAGATGATGATTTTTTTAAAGAAACATGGCGACGCGTCGCGGGTTTGCATTACATGTTACATACTCGTATACTATCACATAGCGTGACGACGACGACTCGCGCGCCAAGAGCCGGTCTGATCCTCCGCATTAGATGCTTCACATCAAAAAGATGATGATGAGTGAAATCTTCTTAAATCTGTTGAATAAACTGTAGAAAAAAAGTGTCTGTGTTACTTACGCTAGGGACTGGACATTCAGTGATATTTAGATTCTTTAACACTGGATACCACGGCGCATCCGTATCTTTCAAACTACTGCCAAAATTCACTTTCATGTTGTACATATACTCGTTACCCATATCCAACACTTTCCATATGTCTACTTCACACTAAAAAAAAAATGAGTTAAATGATCCGTAAAAGAAAACGAATTAATAATAGCATTCATGCTATGAAAATTCTTACATCAAAGTCACAACTGATGTCGGCCGCAGTTACCACTTTACCACCTAATTTAGCTATATTCCCGACGTCTCCTTTTTCTGTGCCTAATATTAAATCAGTGCAATCCATAAAATCATTCTTGAAGTCTTCACAGCCACTAACGCTGCTTGTTATCTTTAGGGCATAGGTTACCTAAAATACATCAAGTAAATTCAATTGAAATTGTATTCTACTGTGTTCATTTTAGATTTGTTGTGTCTAATAACTATACTTAAGTACTCTTGAACATATTATACGACGATCTTTAGACACGTGTTAAGCATAAGGGCTTAATGGGTTCTAAAACAAACCCATAAAACATGTTATACATGGAAAGATGAGACCAAAGACTGACTTTGACTGCACGGATGGCGTGGTAGTTTAAGCGGTCGCCACGCCGCTCACTACTACGCTGAGTGTTGTGGGTCCGATCCCCACAGGGGACGACACTTCGTGTGATTCACAAATTTTTGTTCTGAGTCTGGGTGTTCTCTGTGACCGTTTCATGTATGTTTGTAAAATCCCCCGCGACACAGGACGTATTCCTAATGCGGGAGTTGTCTATGTGGTGGAAATGCAGATAAAGATATTTAACAGACTGAAAAATGAGCTCGCGATCCTTAACATTGCAGTCCAATTTTTAGACAGTATCAAATAAGTAATGACATCCATACATATATTATAAATGTAACAGGGAGTTTGTTTGTTTGTTACGCTTTCACGCCTAAACGAGTAAACCGATTTAAAAAATTCTTATTTAACATAGAATATTTTTTTACCGCGATAACCGACATACAGGCGGGCGGAGACGCGGCCAAAAGCTATTACCTAATATATACGTGCTAGTGATTGTATTGTAAGTAGTTTACAGAAATATATTGTGCTACACATACCATACAACATGGACACGAGTTGTTACTGGGTTTATACTTTTTATGTTTTTTACTAATACTGATTTTCTACAGTATATAAACTTAAAATCATCGTAATCACCAAGAGCACCCATTAATTATGTACGACAAATTATCTACAGTTACATTCAATTAAAGATATATAGATAGACTAATCCAGGAGCTTAATAATAGTAGCTTAATAATACTAGGTCTCGAAGTACGATTGGAGAAAAGACGCGTTAGAATGTCATTATTGGATATTTTTAAGATAAGTATGTATTAGCATTTAGAAGATAGACCGCGGCGTATAGTGATTATCAAGATGAATTCATTTTAATTTAGTTCAATGTAAGGGTATGTTTGTTTCCAATCTTTCCTAAAACTTATGAATATCAGTAATTCTATAGATAATAATATATGTGTGCAGAACCATGAAGATTGTACAATGTATGTAGATATATACCAAATAATACTACTTACATCACATTGAAAATCTGCACACTTCGTCCCTATTACTACGAAATTAAATAAAAATAAAAACGCTGCTGTAATTTCCATTACTAGGATGCTATAAAATAACCTTCGATCAAAAATACAGCACTGATAAAAGAAATGAGTGACATTATGCGTTGCTCAGTTATATATGAGATAGATAGTGATCTATATTGCTGAGGAACATTGTCGATGAGAATGATAATCGTTATCAATTGTACCAGGATTGCATGAGAGGTAAACAGCTATATGTTGCGTGTTATTTGCTTGTTAGATGCTTGTTTACGCATTTTACTGTCCTACATTTTCCATGTAATAAAAATTATTTTAACAAATATACATATACTTTGCTTTAGTGTATCACAGTAATAAATCATTACAGTCTTTGCAAACCAAACGTATTTTATGCATTACTAGGCTTTGCACGGGTGCAATGTAGATATTAACTACTAATCTGGTTCCGTTTTGCCCCGCATTTTAAATCTCTGATATCTACTAAGAAATTAATTTTAATGATATGCTGTAAAAGGCTATTTTGATCTACATTAAATGCACACGATACATATTTGGATTAGGCATAATTCTGTATGGTTCAAAATACCTTCGTAAATTACCCATTAGTTTATATAATATGTTATTGTTAGGAGAGAGATATACAATTGTTAATTTTTTGTAGATCTTTTTGGGGTATACAATTCCGCAGTCCATTATTTCGATCTATCTCGTAAGGTTTAGCGAGTGTTTGCAATGTAAGGGCACAAAAACATGTTTTTTACGACTTCACATTACAAACCTGTGAAATTCTCGGATTTCCTCTACTATAATATACATATTTTATACATATAATCATTTATATATTTATCATTAAATCACTCTCACTATTGGTGAAAACCGCATTAAAATCCGTTGCGTAGTTTAAAAGATCTAAGCGTACAAGAAAAAAAAAAGCGACTCCATTTTATACTATGTAAAGACGTATAGTCCTAAATACGGTCAGAATAGTTGTTAAATTATGTGATAGCATTTGATAGTCTTATGTGTATAGGAGACTAGTTATTGTCCCTGTTTCAATGGTGTCTCCAATCACAGAATGTTCATTTACCTGTTGCCTATCTAATTGAGAGTTAAATAACGTTAAAAGAGAACGAATAAGTACTTAGTATAATAAGGGTCCATAAATGTATAAAAGTATGACAGATTAAGTGATTTACACACATCCATATTGCATACAATTCAAAACGTATCAATAAAATATGACGTACAATAACATAGAAAACCAACAATGATAAAAACACTAACAAACTCAGAATAAAACCAGTAAATCAAAACTGCGAATACATTCGTTCATTTCCTTGTTAGATAACAAACAGTTAGAGGGGAAACTCCAATCGGAATATAAAAATTACGACAGTTTAAAAGTAGGCATCATTTACATAGAACTACTATATTGGAAATGATAAACAGGCTGCTGCGCACCCCATTTGTCGCTCTCATGAAAAATAAATGTGTTTTGGATGATACTCACACTTATAACACGGTAACATTGTTTTCAGAAAACGGTTGCCGATAAAATATTGTAACCTTCTTTGTTTTGAGATTGGAATTATTCAACTGTATACTTTTTTATCTCGACAATGTTAGTAAACTAACAACAATCGACAAATATTTTATTTAGAGTGACTGCATTGAAAGTTAAGCTGGTAATCATGAGTTAATGTTGATAATATATTATGAAATGAGTCCTAGCCAGGAAGGTTACAAAAGGTCGGAAAATAAACTACAGAGTGTTAGTATTTGCAAGATCCTTACTACGAATTTGGATAGAAATGTTGACTGGACAAATCTCCTCTACATGTATCTTAATTTTTTACATACATTTTATATAACTCACACGTATAGACGAAAGACAAAATGAACGATGTTATTTCTAATAAAGATAGGAAATTAAATGAAGAAGTTTACGTAAACCTGCGTAAACTATGCGTAACGATACGCAAAGCAAATACATAAAGACTCGTAATTATTAAAAATTAACGGTCTAAAAGAATATAAACTACGGTAAATCACAAAAAATATTATCCTTATATTTATAATACAAATTCAATGACAAACATTTATTGTAGGTTTTTAGTAATTTTACAAAAATCTTTCAATTGGTTCTGGTGGTAACTTCAACAGATAGTTTGTATAACTAATATAATTAATATTATTTACTGGCTTTAAGTATTTCATAAAATTTCTATTATATTTTAGTACTGTATTATATTTATATTATATTTAAGTATTTCAAAAAAAAAAGAAAAAAAATAGATATTTTATGAAAAACTTAAAGCCAGTCATCATCGTGATGATGATGATGATGACTGGCTTGAAGTATTTCATAAAATTTCTATTATATTTTAGTACAAGGCATAAAAACATATATAAACCAAACTACTAGGCCACAGAAGCAAATACTCTTATATGTTTTTTAAATTCGTCACTATTCAACAATTTATTTTTTGTTTGTTTACAGTTACAGTGTTACAGTTTGTTTACACTTTATGTACAATCGTGACAAAGGCGGACTTAATGCCGTAGGCATTTTCTCCCAGTCAACCTCAGGGCGATGCAGAGCTCAAATTTTCCTTCGGTTTATGCCGTAGAAATTTACAAAACATAAAATAACTACATAGTTCCGTTACGATGTCCGTAAACCATTAAATAATAGCCGGCGATTATGAGTAAGATAAAGTCTGCGGTCTCATTTCAAGGTTTTTTTTATTATTTTATTAGTAACATTCGTCATGTTTCTGGAAATTTTACACCTATTGCCTACATTACGTAGGTAATTTAACCGACTTCTTCGAAATCACCAAACAGAATATAAGTGTGTGGTTTCGTTATTTAAAATTAGTTACAATAACTTCTATAATTAGTGCATAATAATTTTAATACAAAACTACTTCCTATAACTTTAGTTTCTAATCGCTCCGCTTCTAATCTTTAAATGCGATACTCATCAACTCACAACGTTAAAATAGTCTTGGTGCCACGTATGGCTGTCCATGGTCGTCAACTTACATACATCGTTTGTAGAATCAGATAGCATGACAAGCCACTTTAAAAAAACCTTTGTCATCGAATTTGTTCATTATCTGTGTCATCCACCGCGTATTAGTTAAATGTTGAATAAACAATAAATATATTTTCATACTCTGAAACACTTCAGGTATATAAAATAGTAATCTAGTAACAATTCTTCCAATTATATCTGGATTTTGGAAATTGGGATTAAGGCTGTCGGTGATCTTATCGGACAGAATTTAATTAAAGCATGACAAACAATGACAACAAGTCAGTATCTATGATAAAAAAATAAAATTGTAGTACGTTTTTTATATTTACTATACAGTGCACATGTAACAGGAAAAATACTTCATATTCGCCTCAAGTGCCCGCAGCAGGATAGCACATGTTCATGATATTTTCTCGCATGAAGACAACATACATATCTTGTAAATATTGGCGAACCATGAAAATACATGCTTTCCTTTCGTGTGTATAGAATGCAATATAACATAACCGAAGAAATGTGTCGACGACTTCTTCAGTAAAAGAAAAAACACATAATAATAGTTTGAGTACATTTCACACGCTCGCTATACGCAACCTTTTTTCTTTACTATTCCTAGACTTGAATCTAGACTATAAACCGGTTTTTCGCTATTGTTCTTATTTTCAATAAACCGGTTTTTCGCAATTGTTCTTATTTTCCATAAACCGGTTTTTCGCAATTGTTCTTTTTTTCAATAACTTGCCTTGATCCGATTTTTTGCAAAGTATTTTTAACTAATACTTTTACCATAATTATCCCGTTGAAAAACCGGTTAGTTTTTTTTTTTGATCTGAACTTTCTCAGCCAGAACTTGACACATACCCTCTACCAAGTATGACCCGCGTGGTAGAGTACTTTACCTGTACCTGCTTTCTAAGGAGAGGCCTATGTTCAGCAGTGGATTACTAATGGGTGTTGATGATGATGTTGATGAATAAAAACCAAAAACAATTGTTAATATTTTCTTTTTTTTTAAATAAAAGTATGAAAACGCCCGAGTTCTAGTTGAACTAACACACGAAGGGTACGAAAAGTCAAATTTTTAATATGAAAGCCACTTCACTTAAATGATTGTTAATTACCGCGAATATAAATTTATGGTTCTGTAAAACAAGTTACTACTTATATTAAAACTAGAAAACGTAAAATAAACATTTTCAGAATTTCAATATTATTTTGACTACACAACTAATATAAAACAAGCTGATAAAATGTATGGTGGATGGATATATGCATATGTTTGAACTCCGCCGAACCATCTTTATGAATATGACACTAACCAATAAGTTTTGTCTAGCTATTTTGATCAACTGTATTGAAAACAACAGTCTCAGCAAGGTATTTGTGACGTAACCAAAAAGAAAATCCCAAAGATATATTTAATAGAATCATGAAACCTATTAGATTCAGTCTTTGTATATTTATATATTTACATATTATCCGGAGGAACAGGCTTTACCTTATCAAAACCTACTTGTAATAACAAGTTTTTGCAGTAATACACAATCTCAAATAAGGAACACCCATGTTTTTATTGTTGCAGTCATTTGATCATACCTACATGAGCACTTAATAGAACCCTCGCATGTAGGGTATTTCCATGACCAATTATACTTAATATTTGTATTCTTGGATTTTAATACAAAAACCTAATTTTGGGTTTTCCATACGATATGATACGATCGACTTTATTGCCTTTGTTTTTCTTATTCTATTCTTTCATGAAAATTTACAAAAAAATAATTGTAGCAGTTAAATTCAAACTGAATGACGCGGTTTGGTTTATTTATTGAGATTCTCATCAAAAACTATGGCTTTATGGAATAATTTGCATACCCTAGTCGGGTATTAGGAATGCATAACTAGAAAAGGGTAAATGATTTAATTATGCACACCAAAGTGTCAGCGCGCCACTTAATTTGATAGCCGGCGACACCTATATGCAAATGATACGTTACGACTAATTGAATATCTTTGTTCAGAATGTTTAGGGAGCATCTCGATGACTTTTGGGGTTGCCAGGCCATTGCTTAAAACATTCAAATGTAATTTAACGTACATCTCAATAGAGTAAATGGGTTTAAGTAAAGACGTTAAGAATTTTTCATGTAGGTACTTATCACAGAAATGATCCACTCTGAACGGCTGGAAACACTCATGTTTAGAGAAATAATTTTTATTTTTATTTTGATATTTATTAGTGCTATAGATATTAGACACCATATATTACGGTAGTTGCATTTTGACATAATTCTATAGAAACAAGAAAGAGTTACGAAATATATTAAATACATTACTTGCGATTTCATGATGATCATTAATGCGTATTCTTCTCTGACAGTTAAACATAACATATGAAATATTGAAATATCTTTTCACCTCAAGCGAATATACGAATAAAAATTGATATTTACAACGAATATGAGATTCAATTTTTAACCAATAAAAATTATGATTATAAAGCAGTGTATTTCGTCATTAACCGATGTTATAACAAAAATAAGATATTTCTGTCCCAGACACAAGGTTTTTTTAGAAAAGGGGACAAACGAGCAGACGGGTCGCCTTATGGTAAGTGAGTACCGCCGCCCATAGACACCTGCCACTTAGGAGATATAAATACGTTACCACCTGCTATGGGAGACTTGTTAGGTTTAGGTTTAACTAAAGGAATTGCCTTAAAGACATGCTAAGTAAAAAAGTTTTTAGAATTGTTCTCAACATTGGCCGCACAGTTAGTTGAAACTGCAGATTTGTTCTCATACACTACTGACCCATTTTTTTATCTTTAATACGTATTTAAAAATATAAAAGTATGTTTATCAGCAGTCTGGTTACCATAACACAGGCTCTGTCTAGTTTGGAATAAGACAGCCGTGTGTGAGATGTGTGAGCGGGAGGAAGGGTTTGGGTCGGAAACCTCAGTCGACGAAGAGCAATATAAAGATCGTTTAGCAACGGTTTTCTGTGGTCACTGCGATCGAACCGGCCCATTTATACCGAAGCATGGCTCTCCCACTGTAACGCTTATTAGAACGAAGTTCCTTATCGCGCGTTACACGCTCTGAGCGGATGCGAGTGAGACCGATAAATTTGTAACAAGACTTTTATCCGACATTTCAACTTCGTTCCAATCCTTACGCCGTGGCAATCCAAGCAATTCCGTATGGATCACACAGTACTTCAAGGTCTTTCGGATTAGAGCGAATCTTGCTACAAATGTTGCAAGAATATAACTACATGTTGGTCTTCTAAACGGTAACACAACCGAGATAAGACCAACAACCTGCAACCACTTTAAAACTTTATTCAGCATTGGATAAATGGATGATATTGGATAGCATTGGATGACTACATGTTGGTCTTCTAAACGTTACACACAACGGAGATAAGGCTAACAAACTGCTAGCACTTATAAACTTTATTCAGCATTGGATAAATGGATAATATCTGCTACGGACAAAATTACCATAATTTTTCTACCACCAGTTATCATAGTGATTCAATTACTGTAATACTTAAGGTTGATGGATTTTACACACTCAGAGAACTAAATGTACTTAATTAAACAACAAATGTTTTTTTTAAGTTGAACGGATTTTAAACAATATTAACAAAGACCACTAAAAACCTATCAGTAATCGCGGATGATTTGCTATCATTTTGATCTATATAAAATTTAAATGGGACCATTTCGGATAAACCCCTTTCGAACCCTTTCAAAAATGTAAACTGTCATATTGTTAAAACAACATTTTAAAATGGTTTTATTTTAAGAATTACGTTTATATTAAATTTGTAATTCTTAAAATAAAAGCAAATATCGCATGGGTCCTATTTAATAAATCTCCTTACAGAATAAAAATATGTCTGAAATGTTATGTAGTTTACAACGAATGTGTTTATGAATAAACAATGATGAAATTAACAGTAATTTATAAATAATATTTAAAAAATAATTGCGTGATTGAAAAGGTCGCGGGTTCAGCTCAGAACTTGTTGAACAAGTAAGGGGAGTGCACTCTGAGAGCACGACTGGCTTGGTTGGAGAGGTTGACAGAACAATAGTAATGCATTACGCATTTCAACCATTTAAATTGAAAACATATCTCAATATTTAACATTTCTCCGAATTTTATTCACTTGACAACTTAAAGAAATTTCAAAAGTTTATTCTTTATAAAAAATACTGCCTGTTTGATTGGGGAATCATTAGTAAGACATTTTTTGACTCGCACAACCAATCTGTAGAAAAAATTATCGTCTGCGGTATAACCGGACCGATACGACCTTCAAACCTTCATGAAAAGAGTGCACTCCTTCCTCAAAGGCCGGCAACGTGCTTGTGACCCCTGTCACTTTCCATCAGCTATCTCGTCTGCTCGTTAGTCTTCTCTATCATAATAAAGAATATAAAAAATGTATAGGATAGGATAGGCTTTGAATTTGCAAGAAATAAAATCAAAAATTAAATTAACTAGCAAATGTAGTCAAGTCAGAAGGTGGTGACCACGCAGACGGCCTAAGGAGCAAATCGTTCTTAGTGAACTAATAACGAAATGTGAAATGATGTGCGAAAAGCAATTAAATTAACACAATATTTTCTTACAAACTAAATATATTTCACTATCGTATTAACAAAATCACATTACTTAGGTATATCATCAAAACACTGGATAATGTACCAGAAATTCTTAATAAAAATGGCAACAATTCGCAGTTCTTTCTTGTTAGGGTCGGACTAGTATAATGGAATCACTGATTCGTAGATTGGAGGGTTGACGTAATCCAGTCGATATATCCGGCTACAGAGGTGTACACTCCTGGCCAACCATCTCTGCCGCAACCGTAACCAAAGGAAACGACTCCGACGGTTTCCCAGATACCTTCAGGTCTTCTCTTCATCAAAGGACCGCCTGAATCCCCACGACAGGCATCTTGTGCAAATACTCCACCAGCGCATAGTTGCTTGTCACCAAGGTTGGCACCAAGTGTACTATATTTACTGACACACTCATTTTTGTTGTATATAGGTAATCCTAATTTTAGTTTTACTGGACTGCTACGACCTGGAAAAATATAGAACTTTGTGAGCTTGGAAGTTCGTATTACGATATTTGTCTCCTTTATATACACCTTTTAAACATTAGATCATGACACATTGTGATCTTTAAAATATGTTTTATGTATCATTATTCACTATTAGTCACTAAATCAAACAATGTTACGTTGTATGTGAATGTTTTGAGGTCTCTTCCGCGTCTGACGCGGAAGAGACCTCAAATACTGTCTAGTATCAATGAAACCTAGGTGGTTTGGTCCAATGAAGTTTTGCGTTTTACACAGAAAAACCTTAAAAGGCAGTCGTTGCTAAAAGCAGCGGATGAGAATTCTCATTTTTAGTTTAGTATTAGATTAAAAGTTATTTAACCATTGTGATCACAACTGTTTATATAATTTCTAATCTAATATGGAATATGATTGCTGAAAAATAAAATAATATGGCATCAAAAACTTCAAAAACATAATCACTTCACGAAGTCATTCGGAAGAAAATTGACCTGTAGGCGATCTCTAGTTTTGAGAAATCGTTATTTGCGTAAATAATTTCTAGAAATAAAATTTGCCTTTTTCTAAAAAAAATGGGGAATCTATCAAAAAATCATGACCTTCAATTTATAGCAGGTAAAACCCATACTGATAGTCATTGCTCTACTGGCTCTAATTCGTTGAACGGATATGGTTGGTATAAAATCAATAGCCATTGCTGACGTACCTTCGAGGGTTTTTCCCCATCCTGCGACGAACACGTCGTTGCCGACACCCAAACGTTCTCTACTGTCAACTAAGCAGATGGGCTGCACATAATCTGGAAACACCAAAGTAAACATTTTCGTGGGTGTTGAGATGAATTTTACATTTATTTTGGAGGTATCCAACTAGTTTCGGGCCAACAGAGATTATGTATTAAGGGGTGAAGTGATCTACTACGTCTATGAAGCCCTGCAATGTGTTTAAAGTAATCCGTGTTTAGTGTTAAAGCGTGTATGATAATAATTTTTAACTATCCTAATAATAATAAATTTAAATGAATATTAAAATATTTATTAATATTTTTAAAAGACAACTCCGGACAACTACTAGGAACATATCCTATGTTGCGGGGAACTGTACAAACTTAGTACAACAATTTGTTGATCACACAAAGTATTGTCCCATGTGGGTATCGAACCCACAAAACTCAGCACAGTAGGAAGCCACGTGGCGACTGCTTAAGCTACTACGCAATTCGTGTAGTCGTATAAATAAATGAATTAGAAATATTAAAATAATGTTTAGAATAGTTTGGCTTAACAATATTTGTTTACGTGCTTGAAGACAAGTTCTCAATTTATTCAAATCTTAATTTTGAATTGTATTAAGTGGCAGTAGAAATTTATAATGAATAAGGTAAATTTTATTGTGAATAAAGGTATCTGACAAGAGGCACTACCAACATTGTGTCTAACTTGACTATATTAAATTGACAAGGGGAATTGCCAAAAGGGATTGCCTTTCGTTAGGTTGTCTTTAGCTACGTAGCTAGAGTACATCGTTTAGTACATACTCGTACGTGTAAACACGCTAATTATTATTTCAATAACTTTTGTAACAACATGTAACAGATTTAGTTTCAAGGTTATAAGTACAATGACCTGGTTTAGAAGTCAACTCATAAGTTTCAACTTTAACGAAAGCTGCACAAAATTAAGTTACATTGTTTTAAAATAAAATACTGCAAATATTACTTGGCTTCGCTAAATATTGAACATGTTTTATTTACGAAAAATTAAATATCAAACTTTGTATTTTATGTTTTTACAATTCATTGGGATTGAATATACTTAAATCACTGAGGCGGTTTAATGTAACTTTCAAAGCTATTTTAATACTGCTTGGCCAAATTTACATTTATGTTGAAAAGTTTTAGAATGATATTATAAAAATTAACTTTGATCACATTTAACTTTACGAATGTTAGGTCGGTCCTAGATGAAAAGTTGCCTGCACGGATGGCGTAATGGTTTAAGCTGTTGCCACACCTTCCTACTGCGCTGAGTGTTGTGGGTTCGATCCCTACATGGGACAACACTTTGTGTGATCCACAAAATGTTTTTCTGAGTCTTTGTGTTCTTTGAGTACCGTTTCATGTATGTTTGTAAAGTTGCCCGCTACACAGGATAAATTCATAATTTAAAAGTTCCTTTATAAAAAGTAAAGTAAGCAATAGTTAAAAATTACACATATTTAAAACCACTGTTTACAATTATTTGCCAACCTTAAATTTATAAATTTTATGTTTTGAGGGTACTACCTATGTGAACAAATAGTACCTAATGTATCCTAGTACATTGTATAGGGCAAACGCGTGCCACAGCTGCTGTTGCTGTTGAAGTTACTCATCAGAGAGGGAGAGGATCCTCAGAACGCATGGATTACTTAGTGTGAAAACAGATTTACTGATCAACGCGAAATGCCTGCTAAAACTCACACGCAAAAGGATGACAAGTGAATATTTTGCAATTTATACATAACATTTCATAGAAGGCAGAGATGATATGTTAGAGATCAAAAAACTTCTAAATTGGACTTTGGTTTTTTTATTTTTTATTTATTCAAGGTAAATTGTACAGAAAATAGTGATAAAATGGGCGCTCATTTTGGTTAGTTAGGATTTAACGCTATGAAATACCTAACCTCTTCATAGTTTTATTTCCAATACATACATGAATACGTAGCTCTTTGCGCTAGTCGCACAATGCCAATATCGTTCAGTCTGCTCTTATCTTTGTTTCTAAACCCAGGGTGAGGGTAAGCAGCAGCCACAGGGATCTCTTGAGGCCGGTCCGCGCAAGTGTTGTCTAAGCAATCCACTTCTGTTTGAATGTCGTACTCGCCCAGGCGGACAGTTGATCTGGAACAGGGAAAAGCAGGTTAAATTTTTTTATGATATTTAACGATATAATGCATACATACATACAAACGCAATACAATAATGCATACAAACTTTTTATGATATTTAATTTGAAAAAGAAACTAGTTTGGTAAAAAAACTTACAGAATTCCAACTTCTTGTTCCACGGATCCAGTGACACAATGAGCAGCAGTCAAGACGTATCGGCGGTTGATCAGCACTCCTCCACATTGATATGTCACTGAACCCTTACCTGATGAAAAATATTTTTTTTTTTATTAAAAGCTGTTATGATTGTAGTTTTCGAAGTTCTTTTCTTATTCAGTTCGTTAAATTAAAAAAAGTAAAACTGTACTCTTAAGACATTACGTTGGACCCGTGCATTGCTAAACTAAAACTCACAATAGTTGCATGTTGATACTAGTTATTAGTTCCTTTATGAGCATGCACCAATTTAAATCCACAAAACTAGGTATATATTTCGTATACTTTAAACTTTAAAAACTATTTTACTATTATGATCAGACAAGTGATCTTAAAAGCTTTTACAGATTTTCTTAAGACAATCATAATAATTTACAATTTTTCATAAAATTATAATCCTTCATATTAATTATTTATCAAAGAATAAAGAAGTCCTAGGTAATAAGTCATAAAGCAAATACTACGAAGTACAACAACCAAGAACAGAATTACTGGAACGTGTACAAACGAATAGTAATTTGCCAATTGTACATTATAGCAATATAATTCTAAGGTTTTAATGACGTTTTTTTGTTAAAGAACATACCTGAGAATTTATCACCCGTGTTTTCGGCGGGGGGGCGGGGAAGTCCAATATGAGTCATGTAATGTTATGCAGTGATTATGATATATCAAATTGTTATTAATATGTAGTGTAATGGACTTGAACATTTACGTTGAGATGACATTGACTATAAAAACCAAGTTGTTGTGGTAAAGTAGTTATCTTAAATGATATGACGGATCGGATATTTAATCAATCAACCTCTAAGTAAAGACTTAGCTATTATGATTTTATAAATAAAGTCACATCATCCTCTTGTGATTTATTTAGTATATATTTTTTTGTTTCGGCGTAGTCCGGTTGGTTTTTCTATGCAAACTTTGACTACGTACAACGAATCGTAAAACTTTTCATGGTTCGACAGTTACGAGACTCGTTATTCTACCAAGTTAATGTCTTTAATGAAGTAAAACTTGTTTACATTTATATAGTACTAGCCCTCCTTGCGTGCAACACTATAAAATTGTTCAAAGTACAAGGTTGTCATATGAGGCACCTATTTACAAATTGTAGTGCAACTTAATTTATTGAGTGATCAGAACTTGGTAAAAACGTATAAGTCTTGCTGATATCTTTACATAGCATAGAGCAACACAGCCCACCGGTGAACCGGGAGTAGACATAGCGTCTTTTCGCGATATATAATAGTCTGTCTTTTTTTCGGGGGGGGGGGGGGGGATGGGGCAGGGATCTTCACACACATATTCTCAGACTCCCAGAAATCGGTTAGTGACATCAGGTTTAATAAGTGATACAAAGGTGAATATTAATATAGATAGGACTTTATTTATCAGTACAATAATCATCATTGATATTAGCAATAGTTTTATCTATCACTGGTTTTCATACCGGATTAATTTCGTATGAATTGTCAAAGACATTTCTGTGGGTTAGCTTTATTCATTTTTTTATTTATCTTATTTTTATTTTACATCCTTATGCACTTATGTTCATCGGCGGGCAATAATAATGCTCTGGGCATTCTCTACCAGCCAAACTTTAGGTGGTGTAGAAATCTTGTAGGGTAGGTGCACCGAGGTCAGAATTGTGATCACTGACTATTTTTTTATCAATAAGCATATGAAACTAAACAAAATTTACATATATCAAATATATGTAAATATATATATATATATTATAATTACAATAAAATAAAATTACACATATATATAACCAATTTACATATAAATACATATTCTTTAATTTCGTACACTGTGAATACTTGACTTTAAGGAGGTGTACAATTGGTTAAGGTACTTCCGCCGAGAAGGTTATTATGTACATTCTTTTTAAATGCGAAACGGTTTGTGGACATCCTGATATTGAGTGGGAGCACATTCCAGAGCAGTAATACTTGCACAAAGAACGAGGTGCTCATGAGTTGTGGGAGGGACACGCGAGTAGCAAATTTTCGAAGATATTGATCGAAGATTTCTGTCGTGATTAGAAGACAAGAAACGGATGTAAGGATCGAGGCGGGTGGGTGAAAATGCGGAGTTGAGGAATGAAAAGACAGAGGTCAGCGCTCGCTTGCGGCGCAGGCAAATAGGTAAGCATTTCAATTCGGAGCGTAAAGCAGACACATGGTCATACTTGTGAAGATTAAATATGTATCGAATGCAGTTATTAACAAGACTGTCTAGCTTATTGAGGAGGTCTGCATTCGGTCGAAGTAACACACATCAGCATAGTAATTATAGGAATAATTAGGATCTGCATGAGAGAGGCTTTCGTTTTAGTAGGCAGGAAATTCTGAAAACGGTATAGTGTTCGCAGGTTACTCGTTACTTTCTGGCTCACGTGAGTAATTAGAGCACGCCAATCTAGGGTTGAGTCGATGAGCAGGCCTATATCTTTAACTACAAGGGATACCTGAGCCGTTGAAGACGACCGGTAGGACTGATGCAGTATTCAATCTGCTTATCATAAATTTGCTGTCTACTACGATCGCCTACATTAAGAATGTTCCATCCTTCTATTGTTCGCCAACACTTAAAGGTCAGAGGTCTTGAAATGATCTGAGAAAATTACACTGTTTCTTGTAGGTATCCAGGTATGGTATCTGTTATTACAAAAAGCCATATAGCCCTTAAACTCGGATCTTTAGAAAACCGGCAATAAATAAATAAAAATAATGTAGGTGTAGTTCACACTTACTATTTTTAATATGATGTGTTATGTGTGTGTATAAATATTGTGTTATATTTGATTGGACGGAATCTATGTAACTATTTACAAACCGATAACAACGATATTATCAACACGACACTCGGATCGTCTTCCGACCGATCCCAATGTCGTATAAGGGCGAGCGGCCTGTGTTAGTAAACTAATCCAAAACAATACAACTGTTATTTTAGAATAGAATACGAGTATTATTTATTTCATAAAGCACAGCATACAAAAATAAAACAAAAGTTAATAACAACATACACAAAGAAACTAAAAATCAAATAAGGTTTTGATAAAGGCAACATTTTTCAATGTGTCAATTGTTCATATCTGACAGAACTGACCTGACACGTCAATGTGCCACGTATCCAACCACGCGTCTATAAAATTTTACTCCTAATAACTATGTTAATACTTATCTGCCTGTATACCATAAAAAACCTAACCGTTATTTAATTGGATAAGGAATAATAATGTATTGTTTAAAATAGCTTCGTAAATAACCCATTTTTTTTTTGTAAAATGTAAACGATAAAAATGGTTACTGTGGACTTTTTTGTAGATCTTTTTAATATCCACAATGCCGTAGTACACGATTTTGATCTATCTTGTAGGTTGTAGGTTTATGCAACATGTTTTTTAGGACTTCACACTAGAAATCTTTGAAATCTCCTCATATTATACATATAAACCCGCCTCTTGAATAACTGTCTTTATTGGTGAAAAACCGCATTAAAATCCGTTGTATAGTTTAATAGATCAAAAAGAATAAAAAGCGACTTAATTTTCTACTATGTAAAGATTTTTATACTTTACGATAAGCATGCCACCATCGCTTTAAAGTAGTTTATGTTATTTGCACTTTTCGATATATTACAATCACTTGTCCGACGAAAAACTAAAAACCGGTTTAATACAGAAATGCTAGCCAACTAAGTAAAACAGGTAACGTAGAGGACCAGTATTAATTAAGCTTAGTTTTGTTTTTCTTTTCTCTTTAGCATTGATTTTTTCGGTAACTAGTTATCCTTATTATATTACGGGTTACATAGTCAATTAGACTTCTACGATAGTACTATCGTTCGATGTTTGTCTTAGTAAAAATATTATTTTAGTGCAAGGTCGTCAACATTCTGCAGTCTAGGAAATGTCAAATACATGTTTGTTCCACCTAGTGTAAAAACTTGACGTTGTCGGTGATAAATAAAGGTACAATGCTGATGGACATCTTTTTAATAATAGTAACAAAAAATCTGTGCTATAATTCATATATTCTTTGTATCAATGTTTTTGATCAGTGGCGAATATATATTCAAAGCTGGGACATGACAGAAGATTATCCTAAAAATTATGCAGATACTCACGAGTTCTATATCCCATCAAGGCCATCCAAGGGAACTCGTCTAGGTCCGTGAATAGGCCTCCGTAGATTCTATCTCCATTTGTGTCTACTCCACACTGGTTTCGAGGAGCTGGTGAGGAGTCTTCGGGAAAGTTTTCATCGCTTCCACCGCTCGGCACCGTTGGTCTAGATGTGGCAGGTTGCTGTAAAATTATTCTTGATTACTTATTGGCAGTAGTAAAAAGCAGATTTTCATACTTTCATACTTAAATACGAGTATAATCCTTAATAGAGTAGTCTAAATATTATTGCGAACTAAACTATCAAAATACGTATCACTCTGCAGGTTTGACCTTGTTAAATGGGACAAGAATCAAATCTTGCGACCTTGATCTTTGACATGTGGTGATTACATTTGTATACCTACTAATAATAAAACACACTGATTAAAATGATTTTTTTTTAATATTCGACGCAACACAGTGTTGGTTTAATTATATAGGTTTTGTTTAGAAAATATAAATGGGAAAATGAATAGATTTATTTTCTTTGGATCCTAGCTTAATATTTTTGGCATTGGATCTAGCAAATAATTATTATGTATTGCCGTATGATCCCAAACTTAAATAATGCAAGAGAGAATTTTACTATCGTTGAATCCCAAAAACTATTTCCGTTGGATCCCAAATTCTGAAAAAAACTGAATCCAGATACTTTCAACAACAAAATTAGTGATAATAAAATGAGGGACATTTAATATTGACTAAACACTTATAATATCGCTGTTCTCTTCGTCTTTACTTCCATTTATTTACGCCATTGAACAGAATAAAGTGGCTGTAGTTATTTTGTATAAAGCTAATTAAATAACATATTAATATGAGTAATCAAATCCAATCTACTTCTTCATCAGTAATGCTCATCAATTTACAAAGAAACGAGATAAATTTAATGAAAATGGTACTTCTATATAAAGATGCATTAAATAATGTAAACGAATACCTACACTTCAGGTGTATACATTTTTTTTTTGTTTGTTCATTTTTTATGTATGTACTATTCTATGCTATTACTGTTCTGTATACTACTTTACAGTATAGAAGACATGTTATTACAACATGGGATTCAATGGAAATAACAAATGGGACCCATCGATAATGACTAAAAAATGAGATCTGAAACTGGGCGAACAGCATGATAAATAGGAAGGTGACAATTATCTTAGATTTATATCTATATATATATATATATGGATATATATTGTTACGTGTGGCTTTATTTTTACACCGCAATAATTTCTTTGTATTCGGATAGTGCCTGCATATAATGTATTTTTTATGATTTAGTGGGCAAACGAGCAGACGGGTGTTATAATTACTTGGTTTGGTTACGTTCGCTAAATGATGCTGAGGTACATTTAATTGCTGTATGAACGAATACCAATAAAAATGTGCCTTATTGCAGACACATAAAATGATACCAACAGATAAGCATCGGTAACAAAATACATATCTCCACCACGTCTCAGTGTGAATCACACAGTATCACATACAGCGCCGGCCATTTCTATTGATCTGGTGAGTGGATAAGACATTTTTTTAAATATTAGCGTAATATATACGATAGTGACACAACACTCGACCATGACACTAGGCATTTCCCAGAGCAATGTGTATGTTTGTATACAGGAAGGACTGACCGGACTTAAGCAACGGTATAAAGACCTCGATTTTAATATACCTCATACTCCGGATAGTTCCGGTTTCTCTGGTCAATGTTAACGAATCAACACAACTCCTTTTAAGGTAAACTTAAGATTGATAGACTACTCGCAGCATAATATCCTAATCATCTAGTTGAGTCAAAATACCTTGACGGTTTTCCTAGTAATATCGCCTTGAGTGGCGACGAGAGCTGGTTAGATATACGATGCTCAATAAACATAAAGAAAATAGTAAGGATACTAGTAGTGGCACGTATCCCACTATATTCAAGGTTTACTATAATAAATAATAATAATAATATTGTACCACATTCACACAACGCCATCTAGTCCCAAACTAAGCAGAGCTTGTACTATGGGTACTAGACAACTGATATAAATACATATATACTTTTTTTTTTGTAAATACATACTTATTATACATAGAAACACCCAGACCAAATCAAACATTAAATGTTCATGCACACAAATGTTTGACTTGAGCGGGAATCGAACCCGCGACCTGCGGAATAGCAGTCCGTTACACAAACTACTACGCCATTCGGTCGTCAAAATCAAAATAAATAATAATAAAATAATAAATCAATATTAAACCTTTGGTTGTCCATGAAGAGGTTAATTTTACTTAAAAGCACTTTGCCCACAAATCTTTATTGCTGAATTGACACAATTTATATCCTTATGTTTGGGTACCGCCCCATATATGTATATAAAGAATAATTGCCTCGTTTGTGTCGGAGCATCTCTTGCGAACTGCTGGACCGGTTTTTAGTGTGTTAGTAAGTTCCAGAAATTGGTTTGTAAGATTATTTTTTTTTGGAAATAACAACGGCAAGGTTGTTACGCGTAGTTTTGAAGGAAAATAATAATATTATACTTTTTTGACGTTTTTAACGTTATTTAATTTCACTGAGTGAAATGAGACGCAGCTTGAGAGTTATATTTGTATGATTCCTAGAACGGATAGGTTCACAAACAACTTCGCTATGTGTTCATATAATTGGGTTCTTGAAATAATTCAATTTTTTAAGGAGAATTTTATTTTATAATGTTTGAATTGTTTAAATAATAAGTACCTAAATGTTTTTACATAGGATTGTAGTGGAGTTGTCATTTATAATTATATTTATAAATATAATAAACGCTCTTAAAAAGGATTGCATAGTTATTTCTTCAGCTCTATTATATATAGCATTAAGGAAGTGTTATTTATGTAGAAATGATAGAAAAAAAATCATTAGTATTAGTCAGAAAAATTTGGAGCGTAACGATATAAACACTTACCGTTGGCCGTGGAGTTGCTACCTGCGAGGGGATTGGACCACAGCAGACCCTAGGTATATTGCCTACAAAGCCACATTGTGACTGTCTAAGAAAGCCGACTACATTAGATGGTAGTGGCCTCTGCTCGAAGGCGGTTAGGAGATCTGAACAGTCGTATAAGGAGACGCAGTTACTTGATCTGCCTAAAGGTGTGATGCATTCTTCTGAAACTGTTACACAATTGTTTTGATTAAACACTGAAGATATACTTAAAAGCTTTTAATCAGTATAATACACTTATTGATGGACTATATGTTTTGACTTTTTGGTGCTTTACCCCATCGGCCGCGTACTGTATATAAGTAAGGTATTTATATTTCCCTGAGGTAGAAGCATACGGTTACCGCAATGCAATAAAAAAGATGATCTCTCACAATTATCAGAATTGAATTTCAATCTTCATGGTAAGTTAAACCATATTTAATTAATCCAATATTTTCAAAAAATATTCTTCTATCTGAGCTGGAATCTCTAGCGTCCCGCATAAAGTAATCACCTTAATTACCATACACTTAATAAGGGGTAATAATTTGGCCAATATACTTTTAAATTATCAGCTACAATAATGATCATTTTAATTACCAATTTTGTAACTTTTAGATTTTGTAACTAGATTTTACATGCAACAACACGAATCAACGTGTTTGTTATGATTCTTATCTTAATCACCGACAAAATTTAATGCTTGTTTGTATAATAAAACTAATTTAACACCAAATTGAAACACAAACATGCTCTGGTAAATAATATTTCAAACATAGTTTTTACTAAACATAGATCTCCAAATGCAAAGAATAATCTAATTATGATCAGTTATGTGGCTCTCTGTACAATAATAGAGGACTTCTTAATACTTTATGTTATGCTCCTAGAACCCTAACTACCGATGCCTTCAAAAAGTATATTTATTGAATAAACTAATTAATGGAATATCAAAAATAATCATAAATTTTCCTTAAGGGGTTTTCGTACACGTGCAAGTAGTTAGGAATTTAAACAATCTGATTGCAATTGATAAACTTCCCCGTGTTGGGAAAATCCAAAGTAACGGGCTATGGTGAGCGAAGGGTTTACTCATACAAGGTTAAATACCTTTGTAAGTAGCCACTGGTCACCTTCTCCTTAAAACTTTAATTGATTGATTCAATATATACCAAATAACCACTTCCCAAAATAACGTATATAACTTTTGGTTTATGTATAAATTTATTCTTTATTGTTCTATTTCAAAATTTCGGCTAGTTTGTACGTGGGCATGCCTTTATCTAAATGCACATTAACGTCTATTCAAGATTGTAAATGCACGTGTTGATTTTATCACGCTTTTATTAGCTTAACTAATAATTAAATAGTATAGTTACTGATAGTTAACCTATAAACAAATCTTAGAAATCAATCAGAAAACAGAAACTTCTAAATTATCATCTTTTTGCGCTAGTTTTTTTTTTGGGTTTGACGCAATGTATTTCACACTGCTTCTCAAATTTTTTGCATTGCAATGGATTATGGATTTTTATGGGTGGTCTTCTTGACCCCGATGAACCTAGAAGGCAACCATATATGAAAAACCAGTAATTTAAAGTGGCCGGGGTCGTATATCCGTGTATCTGTCTCGTGAGTAGAGAGATAGGAAAGTGACCACCAGGAGGTGGGAAATGGAGTCAGTGGATCGCGTAATTATTGCTTCGAGCTCAGCCTCATATAATTAGTTTTAATAAGTCCAACATATTAGTTTTGATGACAATGGCCTGCAAATGTAGGCAGGAAATGGATGCTGACACTTTTTTTTACTTTTTACTGCGGCTGGCCATTAAAACGTGATTGTAGTTTTGTTTAACTACTCTGTTTTTACAATAAATCTCATGTTTTAAATCTGACGTTGAAAGTTTGATTGGAGATGTATAGATAACATACGAGTATGTCCTTTAAAGGCCTTAAACATAATGAGATATCCATTTAAAACACAACTTCCCCCTATGTTTCTAAGCAAAAAAAAAGGATTGTCCTCGTTCTACATTTCCAGGTTTTATTAACCAATTTTCTTAGTATTAGACAAAGGTGTATTGAAGTTAAATAATTCCATCTGAAGTCAAAGATCTTTCATTTGTATTCAACAACTACCGGCTACAAATCGAGAACCAGCACTTGCATACTAACCAGGATTTTTATCAGTAAACAGCAGTATTTCTGTATAAGTATTGGCTTATTAAGAAGTCATTTCTTATAATAGATTCTGATGAATTGATATACTATATTACGTAATGTACTTCTGTATAGTAAAGTAATTGAGATATGCGATTAGCATAAGGAAATATGATCACAGCACAAAGCAGAAATTTAACAAGTAAGGTGCATAATAAGGTTTTGTCTTGACGTTGAAGGAATGGCAAATCTTTGAATAGCCCTAACAGTGATAACTATGTGTTCCGGTTACCCCGCCTTTCTTTATTGGAGGTCAACCTACTTTGGTTTTACTTACGTACATCTATTGTAACAAAGTATAACATAAAGTGAGTCCATACCTTCTTCATCGCACTCTGGAGTGTGCGCTGTAGAAGGTTATAGAATATGTATAACAACACGCTACTACTTTTAGGAGCACAACAGTGATATAAACACATACGAAACTGCAGGTATTTTAATATAATATTTGAATTCTACGGCTTCAAAGTTACAATTATGAGTAGACTATGTTAGTTATGTAACCTTTTTACCGTTAGACCTTGTTATTTGTTAAAAATTCAAATGTACTTTGATTTTGATCACATGACTCATCAACAAAGTTTTTTGTTTTGTGTTCTTAGAATCCCATTTTTATATACAATCTATCAGTATTATTATCGCACAGCTTCTATCTTAATAACATTAATTTCATATCCTACCCTCGTCATAAACTCACGTTGTAAATCTTTAAACAACGTGACCTATTTGATTCGTAATTGCACAGAAATATTAATGATAATAATAAATAAGATCCACAACACTATAAACAAACATTTTGTTTCGACCATTCCTCAAAGAACTTTGAGTTTAAAATCGTTTGCATTTTTTATATACTTACGAACATAACTCCAAAAAAGTGTAGACACAAAAAACATATAATCACGTTTCCACATTTTGTTACCGACTTATCACTTTTTATCACAAGTAATAACCTATCATCACTGATGTATTAAAGTTTTAATAAATAAAATTGTTTTAGTAAATAAATGACTTTAAATATTAACTATGAATTGGTCGATGCGACCAGATCGGAATGGTCCGCTTCGCTATACTGGATCTTGGAGGTCAAGTCCGTACATTAAATACTTGAATACGTAGTTTTGTTGTTCCTACGAGTACAAGTTGCGTTCATATCTACATTATAAATTGATTTATTAATACATTTTAATAACTGTTGTACGTCACTATTACTATTAAGTCGAATGACGTTTTTGCAACTTACTTCTAGTGATGGCGTCGTTTTCAATGAGTTTTCGGATATTTCTCTATTCAAAAGGGGTTAATTTTCTACTCATTTTCTTATAAACTTATGTATCATATGATTAGTAGCCAGTTTTTTCAATCACAATCATATACATAAACTATATTATTCACGCCAACTTATAAACAGGATATAACTGGGGAAATACCTTTTCCCTGCAGTTGATCACATTTAGATTATTCAGGTACTGGGTGGATGACCTTTTTGTATCGGAATTATTACTATCTTGATTACAGAAACGCTGATATAATATACTTATAGAAGGGTTGTGACTACTGCTGACCATTCAGGTATATTTCTTAAGTCTACAATGTTAAGATTGTAAGAACAACACAATAATTTAAAGCCACGTGACATTTCGTAAATAAATTAAAATCCAAGATGTTAACACAATTAGTAACAAATTGATACTTTTTATAAAACAAATTTCTTTATGTAGACAAATAGGTACCCTTTTTACGTTATTAGCCACGTGTTGTTTCCTTCCATTTCTTTAATTTTTTAACCGACTACGAAATAGGAGGTTCTCAAATTGGTTGTATACCCTTTGTAACTGTTTGTTACCTCAGAATTCCATTATTCAATAGCCGACTCCAAAAAACCGACGAGATTCTCATCGGTTCTATTTGTATTGTATTCTTTTGCAGTTTGTTACCTCAGTTCTCCTTCATTTATGAACTGCTTTAGAAAATTATTTTTTTACTTGTGAAAAAGTACCAGTCAAAAAGGTTGAAAATTAAAGAGTGAATATGTTCACCGAAATCGGTGATACTTTTTAAAAAGTATTTATAGTGTGGTTTTGGGAATGGAGATTAATTTTTATAATCATTTCATACTGGCCTGTTTGTTTAGGTAGGTATTGCCCCTGCCTGATAAGCCAGAGGGCAAAGTTTGCGATAATTATTACTGCCCACTTTTGGATCTTTTGCTGTGTAGAAAGCCCCAAAAGTCATCACTTCATCGTGGCTAACGGTGCATAGATAGTAACGGTGGATTCAGGTTCGTGTTTCGTTAAGCTATAATATCTTGTTTAATCTTTTGCTTTAATTTTTCCTTAATAAATTCCAATGAATCACATCACATCATCATCACATCAACAGCCTTTAATAGTACATTGCTGGACATAGGCCTCTACTTAGAAAGGAGGTTTTGGCCTTCTATACTACGACTAGACGGGTCCTTCTCTTTGCAGTGTTGTTGTCCTGCGTGGTTAGCTCCCTTAGTCGGATCTTACGACACCCACGAGACGACTAGGGGTGTTGACACTCCGTATTATTAATCCGTCACCACACCGAATAATACAAAAAAATACACCGAATACAAAACAATGAATAATCTAAAAATAATTTTAAAATCATTCGACTTCTCTTATGACGCATAATATTTTTGAAGGTAATAATAACGGAAGGAGTTAAAAAATTCCTACTTATTATTTTAAATGTGAAAGTAACTCTGTCTGTCTGTTACGTTTTCATGGCTAAACCACTGAAACGATTTTAATGAAATTTGGCATGGAGTTACTTTGATTCTTGAGGAAAGGCATAGGCAATAACCGACATCCACGCGGGTGGAGAAACGGGCAAAAGATATTAATGAATAAAACAACTACATAAAATAACAAGATAGACTAGTTTATTGTATTAGGTATGAAAATAATTCATTGATTCTTATGATAGTTAAAGTGAGTCATGGATTTGCCCCGACGCGAAAATAACATAAAACGGCTTAACTGCCCACACATATTATTAGTGATTGTATAACGTTTTTGAGAAATATATACACTTAAGACAATAAGTAATATAGTTCAATGAAAATCTATATGACACATAATGGGAGACCACAACATATTAAGCCAATTTATATATTGGTATGTGTATAATTAAAAATAAAAGTAAAATTTCAAGTTTATTTTTTTTCTACTATCACTGGTATCTAAACGTGTGTTATTACTTTCTCATTTATACTTACTTATACGGCTTTCCCAAAATACACAGTTTTTGTTGTCATTCGTCTAAAAAGACTATAGTTCCGCTTATTATTTGGATAATATCTACTAAATGAAAAAATCAAGCAATTAGCAGCGTTCAAAAAATAGTGTACTAGCTATAGCTAGTACACTATTTTTTTTAACCATTAGAGAGAATACCATCGCAGCATTTTCATGATTTTATAGTAATGAAAGTTATAATTCTAATGTGCTATGATTAAACGGTCAACTTAAACCATGGTATCTTTGAAATAAGTATTTTTGTAAAAATAGATAATGCTGTTACGCTATAGGATTTGACTGAGCGGATGGCGTAGTGGTTGAAGCGGTCGCCACGCCGCTTACTACTACGCTGAGTGTTGTGGGTCCGATCCCCACATGGGACTACACTTTGTGTGATCCACAAATTGTGGTTCTGAGTAGGACACTGGACTATATTCCTTATGCGGGAGGTGTCACTTAAAAAAAAAAGTTAAATGGTTTTTGTATTGTGTAGTTAGTTCGTGGACAATCGATAATCGTATGGAGAACAGCTCCATCTAGTTTCAACTGATGCAAGAATACCCGGCTCGTAACAATACAATTTCATTTTGTTAAAAAGTCCTTTTTGAGCCTAGTTTCTTTTCTAGTCAAAATTTACTTTGGCAACACTTCGAAAGTCTTAATACGTAATCAAAATAAACAAAAATAAATAATCGTCGACTAACCCAGTGCCCAATCAACCAAATTCATGCCCAAGTGGGACGCAATTTCCTCACGATTCGCCAACCTATTAACGACATTAACTTTCAGAGCTCGTCTCAGCTAATCGCGTTGGGCCCCCGCTTCCGTCCCGTACATTTGATTATACACTCGTTAGCTGAGAAAATAGTTCATTATTTACTAAATATACGTTGTGATAGCATAGAACCGAAATAGATTGGATTTAAATTATATACTTAAGAAATTCATGTTGTGCACGTTTTTGACGTTTTAACTAATGGACTGCCTGTTATTACGGCATACATTTTTAAATATAATACCTAACAGTTTTTATAGAATAGTTCCGTTCTTTTTACCCTCATATAAAATAAATACAAATGAAATTAGATGTTACAACTTTTTGCTGCATTTGCAGAACTCAGGTTAATGTATAAAATATGTTGTGTGTACATATGCTATGTTTTTGTTAAGGTTATGTATGTCATCAATTAAATTGATTGAATTAATCGAGTTAATTCGTTAATTTTATGAAATCGAATAATGACATAGAAGTATTTTGGCAAATTCGTTTATCATACTTATCGTACATTTAAAAAAGCGACTGTAAATTAAAAATATACTTTTTATAATTTCATTTAATTCCTTTCACGTGTATTAGTATTTTAATAAAAAAACATATTAAAATTAACCCTTTGCTGTAATTAATATTTAAAAATCATACAAGATAATATAGTGCCTTATTGAAAGATGTCACAAAAGTAAAGAACAAGAGGAGAACGATAAATGATAAACATTGCTACTATCACTGACGATTAGTAGATTTGAGTGTTTCACTAATCCAATCAAGAAACCCACCCACAGAAGTGGAAACTCCTGGCCAACCTTGCTTTCCACAACCGTTTCCCAAAGAAAATTATTCCTACAGTTTGCCTCTTGTTTTCAAGACTCTTCATCATTAAAGGACCACCTGAATCTCCCGTACACGTGTCTTTATTTAGGATTCCACCGCAACATATCTGTTTATCACCCAAAGAGGCGCCGAGCTTTAGAAACATTGTCTTACGCACGTGTGTTTGTCGTATATGGTCAGATTCAAACTCCGCTCAACATCGGTGAATGATCCTGAAAGATCATAATATTCCATGAATTTAAATGATGAAAACAAACCGATCCATAAATATGGACCACAGTAAATTACACCATATACTATCAAAATCGAATGCGTTACGGCACTTCATTGATGATTTCGTCCTGTAAACTATTAAACGACATGAATGTGGCACGATATAAAATCTTAACATTTTTATGCCTATTCCATTCCACTATTCCACTCCAGACCTAATACCAAAACTCTGAAAATATTTTTAAGTATTATGCATCAAGGTCTAGTCCTTATTCTCTTATTATTAGGTTTATAGATATGAATCATACAAGTATAATAAATAATTGAATAAAGTAATTACTTGGCAAGAAAAATAATTGTTAAAATTGCAAAATTAATGTGAGCTTTGCATCCAGAAAAAAAAAAGTATTCAACGCATTAAATGCCTGATATTTTTTCATATGACATATATACGACCTTCTGCTTTCAAATTAAGCAGAACCAGATCTTTGATACACATACTGATATATCATTAAATAAATATAAATTAATTAATATACTAATAATAAGTAAAACCATTTATTATTTATAATAATACTTATAAATAATAAATGGTTTTACTTATTTATTCTGTGGAGCGCCTGATACGATGCGGATAGACGCATCTTTGATAAAGGTCTCGCATCTGGTCCAAAACCAGTCAGGCATCCCCCCTACAAACACGTGAGTCATCACGTGAATCATTTATTCTTTATACATATAAATACAACTTATAAAAGTTATTATTCCAATATATTACATCCATTCATTAAAATAAGTCACTGGTACTATTCTACAATATTTGTTTCTTACATCTGACCGGTTTCGGAGAAAGGGTATAATCATCATCATCAACAGCCTTTAACACTGCTGGACATAGGCCTCTCCTTAGAAAGGGTATTATGAAGACAAACATTTTGAAACAATACAAGTGAACACACACAACCATATACAAAACATGTCTATTGTTTGTATTATATTATTGTGTATTGTTGTGATAGTGCTCATCAAGTCATCACACAATCCTGTGTCACGAGTAGGAATCGAACGATCGATCACTCAACACAGGATATCGCTTAAAATGCGTGAGGAAAAGCTATTATTATATATATAAATAACTCACACGTGTAAGTAGCTCTCTGCGCTAATTTAATGATACCTATATGGTTTTTTGCGGCTCCTGTCTTTAATGTTATAGTCTGGGTACGCGTGCGCAGAGCCTACTGCAATTTCTTGGATGCATTCGGCTCGGCTATAGGATGTATACTGGCAATGCGCTTTAGCTGACATGTCGTGCTCGCCTAAGCAAACTGACGTTCTATTACAAAAGAAACGTATTAGCGTAATTATTTTGAATAGAATATTGCCTATCGACCCTAGTCAGTTTAAATCTTGATCTTCTGTAGACTCGCTTCGACTCGATTTCGACTGTATACCTTAATAGGATAAAATAATGATAATGAATTTAGGGACTTTTATAACATTTAAAAGTAACTAGCAAAACACACCCGACATCCGCCCACGGATTAAAAATGAAAAGTTGAATCTAACTTACAGTGGTCCGTATTTCTATTTATCGTATCCATTGATGCAGTGAGCAGCAGTCAAAAATACCGTCGATTGATCAATGAGCGTCCACATTTGTATTTCATAATACCTGCAGCTAATGATCAAAACAAAAGTAATCAATATTTTCTCAATTAATAATTTGACAATAGAAAATGATTTAACTAATGAAATAAGCAGTACCAAAAAGAATACAAAATCATGGCCTATTTAGAAATTCTATATCACTGTTAGTATGTGCAGTTTGACGTTCACTTGGCAAATACCTACCAGCGAACTCTAGGATCTCTAATTTATAATTTCTGTTCTAAATAATGCCTATAAACCATCGTCATCATCAGCCTATCGCAGTCCACTGCTGGATGTAGGCCTCTGCCATTAATAAATAAAGTAAATAAAAACCTCCGCCGATAACTAATTTGTAGTAAATAGAAAGTGATAATATATTAATTAAGTATTCGTAAACAAAAAGTATTAATTAATTAAAAAAGTAATCCTGAATCAATTACTCAAAGAATAATGGCACAAACATATTTACCTAAAACTGAAGCGTTTAAAAAATTGACTAACAGTAACCTTACTAAATATTTTTTCTATGATTTATCATTATATCGCCATGTGTTGCATAAGTCTAATAAGAGATTGGATATTTTTAAAGATTTTATTTGACCTAAGTACGTAATGTCAGAATCGCCATCACGAACTGACTAGGGATGCGTGATGACATTATTATATTATGGAACGTTTTATCGATAATCGATTGTTATAACTTTGGCTTAAATATCTATCGAAGGTTCACCTATTATGATTATGAATTTGCTTCTGCCCACGGGTTTACTCATACGCTACCGTAACTAGTACTGTAGTGACTAAATCAACCTAACTAGAAATAATTTAGAATATTTTTGACTCTTTTTAAAAGATTTTTGCTACACCAAAATAAATAGAATATAGTTACGTTATTTTCCTACAGAAAAATACTAAAGCAATATACTGCTTAGTGTGATGAGAAAGACATTGTAGGTTGATAACGGCATATAAATAGACATGCATCGATATTTTTAAAATGTCGATACGTCGTTGTCGCACTTACTATAACCCGGCAATCTCGTGCGCAACCGTCCCGCGGGGTGACAGACAGTGGCGGGGGCGGGGTAGCGCGTCATTCTAGCACACGGCTACACACGATTCCCTTCCCCGCTACACCACCCGCTACCCGCTGACATCGTGAGTACCTCGTCCCCGCCACCGTCTGTCACGCCGCAGGACGGTCGCGCACGACGTTGACGGACTATAGTCTTGTCGTTTGACACTTACACGCATGACTTATATACCATTTCTCACAAGGCAATTGTAGTTTATTCGGTTGTTTTACTTTTGTTTAGTATTAAACTCCCATATATGTTTATTTTAATTTTATATAGTGTTACTCCATTATGCATGATGTGCCTTAAAGTGTTGTGCATTAATCTCAATATAATGGATCCATGCTTTAGATTTTAGTAAATAATGTCACAACTACTGACTGTTGAATAACTAAATAATTAAATAAATGCTCCCGCCTTGTGTTAATGTGTATTGAAGCACATTTATTCAAATTATTATTAATAATTTATGTATTTATGGCTAGTATTACACCTGCTATGTAAGATTTTTTTTTTTTATTGTTTACTAATACATGCCAAGCAAATACCCTTCCTTCCTTCACCCATTTAGAGAGTCGGCTAACACTTTCTACAGCAAAATAGGGTTGCTTATAAGTAATAATAATGATGAATAATATTTTCGAATATATAACACACAACGCCATCTAGTTTGAAACAAAACATTTACAATATTTTAGTACTTAACCTCGAAACATTCAAAATCCAATATCTTTTTTCCTAAACTTCTTTCGCTAGTAATTTTTTTATGAGAATATTCAAGAAAATATTCTCAAGGGTTATAGGCATTTTTGATATTTAAACGCTGTCATTTCACTTCAAATAAAATTATGTATGGGGACCTGCCATTGTCCTTTAAATAATCCTCATTCTTGCGCAGTCGGGTATAAAGCTAGACTACCAGTTGAAAACCCCGTCGGATCTCCGGCTCCTCGAAGACACAAGAGCCAGGAGTATGTGGTGGTTCCAATGAATAGATTTTCCATCCCGTCAACTTTCATAGGTTACCAATTAAAATTATAATATCACTGACGTCCTAATGTTTAAGTACTCGGACTAAAAGTACTAAAAGATATCCTAAAATACTAACTGCTTTGTATCTTTAAACTGTAATTATAATAATAAGTGTAGATTATCACTACAAGTAACAATTATAAACACAATTTGTTACTTATTCAGTAACGTCCACTATTTATTTACAGTTTTTAAATCCTAACAGACCCATCCAAGAAAAGTCGTCAGTCCCAGCCACCTCACCACCGTAGATCTTTTCTCCATCCCTATTAACTTCACACTGATCATGAGGAGCCGATTTGGAATCTTCAGCTGAGTATTGGCATTACTTACACTTACAAAAGCAGCGGAAACCTGATAATATAAAAGTATTTATTTGACTTCAATTTTTAGTTAAAGTAGTCCAGTGGCGCGTGTAGTTAGAACAGCCGCAGAACGCGCGCCAATGTGCCGTTTTGCCTAACCTCAAAGCTTGGGTAGGTAGGGAGAGAGGTCGCGTTACCTACCGACGCGACTGACACGGATTGGACACTAGGAGACGGCATAATGCCAGCACTACGGGACCGGGAGGGGGCCGATCTCGAACGTAGCGGACGTCGGTGACGATACCAGCCGTCGACGGGGACGTGGGCTGCCAGACAGTTTGGACCTCTGGAGGCAGATTGCTGTGCTATTATATCCATCTTAATTTGTTGTTGGTTAGTTTGACACCATTTCAGTTTTATCTTAAATAGTCGTCTAGACTCAGCCATTTCGTTGTATATCCGGCCAGAGCTAGGTTTATCATACACTAACTAATTTTGATAACATTGCCGAGCCTTCCCGTGAGCCTCCCTCCTCCCAGTCTGTTCCAGCCTATTATGCGCTTGCCCCTATCAAGATTTGGGGTCGCACTATAGGAGTACGCCGCGCCCTCAGTCAGTACACGCACTATTATTTTATACATATCATTAATTAACGTTTTATGAATTATTCATTTACATATTTTATCGGTACAAGCAGTAACTTCCGCTGGCCAGTAAATATATCTCAACCTATTAAATGATTTCGTGGGAAAAAAACTAAAGTGGCATCGGTTAGATGCAGACTGCCCAAGACCGGGTTAGTTGGCGCTGCTTGTAGAAGGTCTTTGTTCAGCAGTGGACTGCGATAGGTTGATGAGAAAAAACAAATTGTTTATTATATGTATGTATTTACAAAAGTTTATTTTATCATTATAACTATAATAATTACATTAATTAAATAATCTGTTCAAACGATCATATTTTCAATTACAAAACCCTGAAAAACTGTTCTGACAGTTTGACTGCAGGCCTTTTATATATACATAGACAATTACCTACATAAGTAACATTGCGTATTTGTTAATTAGACTAGTGCGGAATTAAAATTAGTACTATTAAGAGAGTGTACTTAACAAATATACCTTTAGTTTTTTCTTAAATTTATTATTATCTGGCTAGAGGCGGATGTATTCAGACGAACTATTTAGTGAATAAGAACCGTACATGTTGACTTGGGTCAGATGGACCTCCAAACTCAGGAACAGCTAAAAATGTTGGCATCAGTGATTAGACATTTGCAGTGTGTTTTCTATCCATCCTAAGTAATGAGCTACTGAGGTGTAAACGCCGGGCCATCCGTCTAAGCCACATCCACGTCCAAAAGAGCCTACTCCAATAGCTTCCCAGATCCCTTTATGTGTTTTCATCATAAGAGGGCCACCTGAATCGCCTTGACATCCATCTTCTCTAAACCGTCCACCAGCACACAACTGCGTATCACTTAAGAACGCTCCTTTATTTCGATATTTTTCTACACAGTTCTCTCTATTGAAAAAAGTTAAATTTAACTTTTTTTTCACTAGACTCGGGGGGCCTGAAAGAGACATTTTTTTATATTATTTCATTATGTTACTCTAATAAGCTGGCAGTTTTTCAAGTTATACAAATTAAAGAAAAATGAATATGCAGATCATTTCAAGGACATTGAAATTTGTCCGAGAGGTGGGATCTTCCAATCCTACAAAGGTGGATGCGTCTGCATGCTAGCGCATCCCCACGATTTATTTTTTAATTTGTTTTTGTGTTAATGTAGAACTAACATAGTTGTAAGATTACTGTTACTAACATATCTATGGACTAATGTCTGAAAATAAATAAATTTATTATTTCAAAATCATTGGAACTCTTCATTAAAATCATTTTTTCATCTTCAATCACAATTTGACGAAAATGTACAATTTTCCAACAAAATTACTCCCTTATTGACAATGCGACAAAAATGTCAATAATTTTTATTAATTTCGAATAAAACATGTTAAGCAATGCAATAAGAGTAAAACTACTTGTAACAGTATCTACAAGCACATTTAAAATTATCTTGAAAAATATCTGAATTTTTTATGATACCGAGATTATTTTCTATACATATACGGTTATATTTCCTAAACTGGCCTTTTTGCTCATAAAAGGATTTTTTTTAATGGCTTTATTCATAGCATTAAAGTGGTCTACTAAAAGGGAAAAAAAGAAAAGTTTAAGAGTCCAAGAAGAGTTTTCTTTTTAAGCTCAATAATTACATTATAAGTTCAATGGTTTATTCCCATCTCAAAAAATACATTATTTTGTTTGTTGTTCAAATGACGCGCCTAAAGTAGATTTCACTTAAAAAATTGCTTAACACCGGTTTCTGTAAGGCCATGGTATCACTTCGATCCATATGTGCAATATGTGTGCAAGCATGGCTCTCTCATGCGTAACTGTCTATATAAATAAACTGACAAGATAAATATAAGTAACTTCAGTAAGATCGTAAACTTTTGTAAACGTAACGTAAACGTGACTGTTTTTATGAAAACCATTGGCTAGTTCTAAATATTTGGTCTATACAGGTTTTATAAAAGACTTACCCTCTAGGGTCCTTCCCCATCCACTGAAAAATAATACCGTCTCATCACCATCGCTTATGGGTTCTTTACCATATACAAGGCAAATGGGCTGTACATAATCTGTAAAAAACATAGTCCATTATCCACATGCTGAGGAAAATTAGGGAACAACTTTAAAAAGTAACAGAAACAACTTTGTTAAGTAAAATATATTATCTATATAATAAAGCACCAGAACCTCTTGAGTCTAAAAAAAGGAAGAGGTGGCTGAAGAAGAGTACTAGAATACAAAACTACTGTTAAACGCGCTGGTCGCGCTCTGCAGGGATAATAATACTGTTTCAAGAAACAGCGTAGGTCAGAAATAATTTTGAACGTACGTAAATTTTTAAGAATAAATTTAGTTCTGGACACAACGTTATAAAAACTAAAGTTTCTATTCTACTTCTTGTATTTTGACCAAAATTTCTTCTTCTAGAAAATTCATACTCTCCTGATAAATAATGACAAATATATAAAAAATGACCATGAGTGCATGAACACATTTTAAGTATATTCTGCAAGATCTAGTCGAGCAAAGAAATAACAACAGCCTTTGGAAAAGCTGATTTTGTCCTCATTCCTAAGAAAAGTGAAGTAATAGAGCTCAGGGACACTAGACCGATAGCATTAACCAATACAATTTCTAAAAAAAAACCTCCTGTTTTCAATTTAAAATATTACAGTTTATGTCAAACAATAATTACTTCAGGCCATATCACCAGAAGGGGTTCATGCCCGGAACCTCTGGATGTCTGGAATATAACTCATTACTTGAGGAAAGTCTCAAAGATGCTTGGAAAAATGAAAGGCAAATTACAGTCTGTTGGATAGATTTAGAAAAGGCCTTTATCTCAATACGACATGAGCTCTTATTTTTTGCCTTAAAATTGTATAACTTACCGCCAATAGTTTGTGAAATAATTAAATTAAAATTTGTAATCACAGCAAAAGAGGGACACACAAAACCCCTCGGATACAGAGTAGGCTTGTTCCAAGGCATATCACCAGTAGTAATTATTACAGTTATAAATATACACATAACCCGAAGCAGTGTTAAGAACTACTGCGATAGGTTGATGATTTCTGTACCTGGACGGAGTCCGATATCTACATCATATTAAATATCCGTACCAAAAATAAAAAACTTACCTGTATAAACAGCTCTCCAGGCTAATCTTACAATACCTATATCGTGTGTTCTGCTTGGGTTTGTGATTTCGTATTGAGGGTGGGCATACGTAGAAGCTACAGAGATTTCCTGCGGATGGTCAGCGCAGATACCGTATTTGCAGTCCACTATTGATTCAGGAGACATGTCGTATTCGCCAAGCCGCACGTTTGTTCTACAAACATATAACACATAAAAAAACTGTGCTTTAGCAAAGTTTTAAGAGAAAAACTACTTAAAAAGAATGCCGAGAGAGAAAAAGATTCAAGATATTCATGATTAAATCAAAGTTCTTCTTTTAGGTATTATGCACCACCAATAGTCGGGTAGCTTGTAACATAGCTACCTACTATGTACTTGTACATATTACAAGTACAATGTACAATGTAATGTGAAACATGATTACATAATAAAATGCTCACATACATCAAGTTTTCGCTATATTCATAGGTGGAAAGATACGAAAATAAATGCAATACAAGTTTTCAAGACGCGAGTGCAGTCTGTGTGTTTACTATAAACTGTTATACTTACAAAGGTCCATATTTGGTCATATAATTTCCAACTAAACAGTGTGCAGCAGTCAGCACATACCGATGATTGATTAATGAGCCACCGCACAAATAATTAACAGGACTTGTATCTGACGAGGAATTTAAGTAATTTAAAATTTTCAATTATCTCAAAACATATTCCTATTAAGAAAAGGAGGTAAGTGGTTGAAATCCAGAAAATTCATTAAATTTATTGCTGTATTAACGCGGATGTAAAAGAATAAACAGCAAAAGCTTAATGGAGAGTTTGAATTCCGTCAATGACACTGATAAACCGTAACTAAAAGAATAAAAATCGTAACTAAAATAATCAAACATACATCTATGAAAAATAAAAATCCACACAAATCTAGCTAATCTGATATATAAGTACTCACTGGTTTTGTATCCCAACAAGGCCATCCAAGGAAATTCGTAAATTTCTGTGTCCTCTCCACTGTAGATTCTATGTTCGAAGTTTTCATTACCACATTGATCACGAGGAGCTGGCAAGGAATCTTCGCTACTATAAGCTATCCAGTTCGCTGTAATTTGACTAGGAGTGGACGTTTCAGGTGTCTATAAACCGATAATCAGTGTCTTTAAAATGCTATGTGGTGATGAGTATGAGGCAAATTTGTTTGAGTACTACATTGCACTAGTACCATTTACGCGATTTATTACAAGGGTTTATTCCTATATTAAATAATAAAAACACATTATAAATGGGGTGTAAATTTTCTTTTACAAACGGGTTCAAACTGGTGAACTAAATCTTAGCTTCAGGATTTAGTTGGGTTACCTTAGCCAATTATTTACATATTTTTTATTTTGACTAATCCCCGGATAGATTAAGAAAAAAACAACAACGTATCAAAGGAGACCACGATACTTACTGTTAAATTAACTTTAGGCTTATCGTCAGGCACAGGACCGCAACAAACTTTAAAAGTACCTTTTACTCCACATTTTGATTTTTGTAGAAAACTGAGCACATACTGACTTAATGGTTTCTGCTTAGCGGCATTTAAAAGATCTGGACAGTCGTACAGAGAAACACAGCTGCTGTATTTACCAAATGGAGTAATACACTTTTGTGAAACTGTAACAGAAATGGTCCTATCAACGTAACTTATAAAAATGACAACTCTTTACTAATCGACTGGGTATATTTAACCTTTTAGATCATAAATACAAATGAGTTAAACACAGAAGTAACATGTGCCCTGTTTACTTACGAGCACAACTGCACCAAAAAGCCCATAACACGCTAATGGTCCACCACATTTTAGTAATAAATATCAAAAAGTGTTGAATATAATGATGTACAATTCAAATCAAAAAGTTGACATTAATATGATGAAATTTAATTCACAACTAAATCGTTCCTGACCTGTCCTTTTTATTAAATACTGTTTTGTAGTAATTATCTCTTATCCTTAATGAAGAGTATTTATTACTAATTATTCATGGTCTCCATTGTAACTATGCTTATATAAGTTTTCCTGTTGTGTCAGACTCAGTTTTCCAACTTTTCTGGATAAATTATATTTACGTCACACGTTACGTGCACATCACAAGGAATCATCATTTGTCACTTAAATGACGTAAAAGAACTCTTTTCAATACATAATATTTTGCAAATATATAATATTAGGTAATATTTTGCAGACCAATATCATAAGTATAACAGTTGTTGTTGAATAAAAGAACGCCTGATGTTAAGCCGATCGATAAATATAATATACATTTGCCTAAATATAATAATACTTTAGGAAAGCCACCAAATCGGTTCGTTTATATTATAAAAATGTCCGAAGATTGCGAACAAAGACAGAAACATTTTTCACCAACTTATTGGCCTCAAGTTATGACGTATTTGCAATTACGGAATCTGGGCTAAACAGTTCTATAAAAGATGGCGAACTTATTCCTCTTGGTTATCACATAATTAGGTGTGATCGAACGGACGGCAGGAAGCAAGGAGGTGTTTTCTTAGCGGTGTGTTGTCGGTACGATATTAATTTAGTGAGAATTGATAATGTGGACTCGGCCTTATTTGAAATAGTTTGTGCGACGGTCAGTTGTAAAAATAATTTCTTATTCTTATGTTGCGTAGTGTATATTCCACCTGGTTCTAACTATAATGAATACGTGAAACTATTTCAAATACTAGAAAATATATGTACCAAGTACGAATCTGTTATCGTAGTGGGTGATTTTAATATACCGTCAGCAACGGTAGAAGTGCAATGTTATTTGGCATATTTTTTGGAGTTCTGTGGATTTCGACAGGTAAATAATATACTTAATATTAACAACCCTACCTTAGATTTGATATTGACTACATTAATGGCGTGTGATATAGAGGTTAGAACGTCGAATGAGCCACTCGTGGGCATTGACGTCCAACACCCTCCTTTAGATATTAAAGTGAATTTAAGATCGAATTGGAATAGACAGCAGGTTGCGGAAAAAGGTAGTATAAGTAGTGATAATAACAGCAAAGGTCTTATTTCGTGGCAATTCACGAAATGTAATTTCCCTAGGTTATATGAAAGGATTAGTATATTAAAATGGGATGTTTTGTACAGTATTAAAACTTCAGAGGACGCCTTGACCTACTTTTATCGGATAGTTAATGAGACTATTAGTGAATATACCCCTATAAAAAACAAATGTGTAAACCGTAGATCAACTAATAGATATACTTATCCAGAATGGTAAGCGGCTGATCTGATACATCACATCAAGGCAAAATCGAGGTATCACAAAATTTCTAATAATATATTTTAAGAGAGGGACGTTACCCGGATCGTTGGAAAATTACGAGAGTGATACCGGTCCCTAAAGGCAGTGGGAGCGACGATGTAAGTGGTTATAGACCGGTGGCAGTACTGTCAGCTTTCGCTAAATTATTTGAATCCGCATTGCACTCGTCCATCTATGCACAGGTAAGCTCTCAACTGACTGATGCTCAGCACGGGTTTTGGCCGGGTCGAAGTACGGGCAGTAACCTTTTATCCTTTGTGACATATCTTGCGCCCATCATTGACGCAGGTGGTCAGATTGATTGCGCGTACTTCGATTTCCGGAAGGCATTTGACTTAGTTGATAACGATATGCTATTATCAAAGATGGCGGCGTTAGGTTTCACGCCGCACCTACTGAAATTCTTCGCGAGCTACCTTGATGAACGCAGGCAGTACGTTGAGTATGCTGGTTTTGAATCCAGTCCGTATTTTACTCTTTCGGGTATAAGTCAGGGGTCAAATCTGGGACCGTTAGAATTCATAATAATGATCAACGATCTCCCGAGGGTCTTACGGCATGCCGAGTGCCTGCTTTTTGCAGATGACCTTAAGGTATATCTGTCGATAGCAGACGCGTCGGACGCTAGGCGACTACAGGAACACATAGACCGGGTAGTGCAGTGGAGCAATACCAATAAGCTGTACTTTAACATAGCTAAATGCGGAGTTATGAGTTACAGCCGGGCTAGGGCTCCACTGCGCTACACATATGAAATGGACGGTGCGTTGATGCCGTACTTTAATAGCATCCGAGATTTAGGAGTCGAAATGGTGCCCGAGTTGACGTTTCGTAATCATGTCGTTACCACATGCAGTAAATCATTTAGAAATTTAGGATTCATTTTGAGAAACTGTAAAGATTTTAATAACACGTCAGTGGTGAAAATATTGTACAATGATCTCGTTCGTAGTCATCTAGAAGCGACCGCTATAATTTGGAATCCTCATGAGGCTAAATATAGCCTTATGGTGGAAAAAATCCAAAACAAGTTCGCTCGATTTCTGTATTACAAAGAATACGGGGTGTACCCACTATACCCGCTCATGTACCCAAGCTTATTCGTCCTCGGCATGGTCGGGTACGTGCGCCTGAGCGTGAGGCGAGACGTGGCGCTGGTGACATACGTGTGGTGCGTGGGTGCGCGCCGCCAGCCCCCTCCGCTCAGCGTTCCCGTAACGCGAACAAATTTACTTCGATATGCTCCTATATCACGCGCCATAAGGCTTATTAATATTATTTCAATACAAGTAGATATCTACAACTGTAGCCTGCCGAACTTCAAAGAAGTCGCCCAGAGATGTATTACAGCAAATGATTTTTATATATAAATAACTGTTACTTACTGTTTTTACTTACAGTATCATTTTGGGATAAATCCTGTAAAGACACTGTAATTGTTTTTAATAAATAAATAAATAAACTCACAACACTTGTCAAAAACTTCTTGCTCGCCCTCAACATGGTAGGTGAAGAGCTAGTGTTTAATCTTGACCTGTCGTAGGGTATACATTTCCACAGAAATGACTTGTATTCATACTAAATTCTATAGTACTTTACATCTTTTGCTTTGTTTTTTCAATATATCTCGTTTACTCGTTCGTTATCGTTTATTTCGTAACGAATTGAAAATATATTATGTTTTATATCCATCTAACCGACATCACTGACGCAGTCCCCTAACCAGATCATGTCATTAGCTATTGACATGAGTACGACCCTGGGAAATTTGTGAATGCATATTTAAAACAAACAAATCATTAATATAAGCAGCAGTGGACTACTAAAGGCTGTTGATGATGATGATGATATATATAAAATAATTATCATCAGTATCATCATAGCTACTAACGTGAATTAAAAGCAATTGATGCACGACGATAGACTAAAACAAATATGTACTCATAGATTATTTATATTATAAACGAAATTATAAACCGTTGCCACACCTACTTATCTCACGAATTCGTTGAAATACTAGATGCCATATCTTTAATAAATTCAATATTTTGTTGAATCTAGCAATATCTTTTGTTGGAATTATTCAAGTAAAGCTTTTCAGACAGTCGAAGAGGCTACAATCTTCAGCACCCATCTATGACTTATCATAGCATCTAGTGCATATCTATCTTTTAACTGAATAAGTTTTCCGAACGCGGTGAATTGTAATATAATCTATACCTAACTAGTATTTTAACATAATAAAATATCTTGTAGTTTTTATCTCTTTAAAGTAGCTTGAAAGATCATATCTACATTGATAAAAGTTATAGAAGCAATTCTAAGAAGCTAGTGAAGCGTTAATGGACAGAAGGCGGTGAGGTAGGCAAGATTTATAGGTTATTTTAATGCCTCAAGATTGCAGGAGACTGCAGTTAGATTGTGCAATGCTATTGCAATTGTTTTGTAACTCATGACTATCGTCATCCGAGCTCCACAGCAAAGGCCCCTCAGGCTGACCATGAATTAGTTTACAAAACTTAGTTGAATTAAAATAGGGCACAGTATCATAATAATGCTTTGATTTTTGTGGGTTTAAAGTATTCTTTATTTTATTTAAGACTTAGCAATTTGAAAAATACTCTAAAAATACGATGTTCTTGATACATCTATCTAAACGGAAAATGTAAGTTTTATTTTAAAAATATATATTTTTCTTAATGTAACAACAAATTATCTATATAATTAAATTAAATGTGAATAATTAAAAGTGAGAAATTGCTTCATGTTAAATTTGGCTATTTTAGATTAAACAGGAATACCCTGTAAGTAGATTTTGATTCACCTATGCTTAAATTGATTGAGATGTAAGGATCCATTTAATTCCTAGTTTAATTTTTAAAGCTTCTAAAGACGTGCTTGACGTAATTTTAATCGTACATTACTTCCTGAGATAACAAAGCTGTGATCACTTTCTTATATCAGAAACTAGTTTTAAGTAGGGTTTTTTTTTCTTTTGAGGAACGCACCTCAACAAGTTCCTAGGATTTTACCTTACGCCCTTAAATAATGCATTGAAAGAATAAGTGGAATGCAAAAATATAGTTTATTTATTTGGCCGAGAGCCCTAAATAATATCCTTATTTTGTGACTTCCCATTTAGAATTCATATTGTCTATTTCTTGAAAATTTATAAGTGCAAATTTAATTAATAATAACAAAAACCCGAAGATCGCAACACATAAAATAAGTAAAATTATGCACTGTACAAAATTATTATTATCTTTACAGACATAGTGCAGTAAATTACTTGCAGTGACTTTAATTTATTTTATAAATAACCACTTTCTAAAATACTTATTAGCCATCCATCATTTGAATAGCCCGAATCCAAACATACCTCTTTTCCTCCGAAATATCGACAAAAGATTAAAGTAGAGAAAGAGATTCTGGCCATTGCTCAGCATCAGCGGCCAGTGTCAGACGTGTTATCGATGGCTCCCTAAATATTATTTATGAACGTCTCAGAACGGCTG